TAGTACGCTCGAGCGGACCTGTTTCATACTTAACTCCCTCTCTCGACTCTTCGAGTCATTTTTTTTCCCTTTTTCATTCTCTCGATCTAGGGTTGGTCGTGTGGCTGCATTGTGGTCGATTCTCCTCCCATTCATCCTCCTTCCCACTGATTTACTCTTTGGTAAGTTTAGGTATATTTGTTTCTCAGTCTAAGTATGCGAAAAATCTTGTGTCTAAGTTTGGTCTTGAGTCTGCCAAACATGCCCGTACTCCCATGAGCATCACTCTTCACCTTTCCAAAGATTCCTCTGGTATTGATGTTGATCCTACCCTTTATAGGAGTATGATAGGGAGTCTTTTGTATCTCACAGCCAGTCGTCCTGATATTTCTTTCAGTGTCGGTGTTTGTGCTCGTTACCAAGCCAGTCCTAAAGAGTCTCACCTTCTTGCGGTAAAACGCATCATCAAGTATGTTAATGGGACCTTGGGGTATGGGGTTTGGTTTTCCACTGATACTACAGCTGAAATTACTGGTTTTTCTGATGCCGACTGGGCAGGGTGTGCTGATGATAGGAAAAGTACCTCCGGGGGGTGTTTTTACCTTGGGAATAATTTGGTTTCTTGGCATAGTAAAAAGCAGAATGCCATCTCTCTTTCCACTGCTAAGGCTGGGTACATTGCTGCAGGGAGTTGTTGTGCACAAATGTTGTGGATGAAGCAAATGCTTCATGACTATGGAATAGAACTGAATACCCTCACTCTTTTTTGTGATAACACAAGTGCCATAAACATTTCAAAAAATCAGTCCAACACTCTCGCACCAAACATATTGACATACGTCATCATTTTATTCGAGAGTTAGTGGATGAAGGCATTGTTGTTTTGGAACATATCCCTACTGAGCATCAAAAAGCTGATATTTTTACAAAACCCCTTGATCTTCTTCGATTTGAGTTTCTTAGAAAGACCTTAGGTGTAATGCTCAGTAACTAGATTGGTTCCTGTGGTCGTGAGGTGAGTGTGAGTGGCTGACTTACTATTCTTAGATGTGTTTATCTCATTGTGATTGAGTCCTGGTTTCTTTTGCATCAAAATATTAAATGAACACTGCTCATGTTTCCTACAAGATTTGTTTTTCATCTTAGTTCATAGCTCATGCTGAATGCCCATACTCATTTACTTCGTGATCTCATTCTGTACACATTCTTGAGCTAAACTGTTGCAGGGGTTTCCGTATAAGTGATCAAAGTTCTCTATGGACCACTGACAGTGTTTCTTGTACTTTTACGGAGAAATTGACCCATACTAGTACATCATGGGTGATGTTAAGTCTCTTAACCATCTACCGCCTTAGTTCACTTCCATGGTTTCTCCCTCAGTACATGATCTCCGGGCATTAGGAAAAGGCTACCTCAGAGGCACCAACCAGGCCATCATTCTGACTTCATTCTTCTCTGGTTGGTCCATACTCTTGAGCGTGCATGCCACCAGTGAGTGCCCACAAGAAAAAAAAAATTAAAATAAATAAAAAAAATCATCTGAGGGGGAGCTTCCGCTTTTACTTAACAAATACCCCGTGATTCCTAGTGGTTTGACTTTTCTCTGTGATAGTCAGTTACTCGTGTCGGAGGTCCAGCCATCCGATCACTACTAGGATTAACTCTAGCTTTGTGACTCTCAAGGATTGCACACACACACATTTTTACATGAGCTCTCATATGTGTTTTTGAGTTATGCATTCTCATGATGCGTGTGGCTTTGATTTAATACTATCTGTGTTGTTCATGAGCTGGTGTTTCATCTCTTTTCTAAAAATTTGCAGGACTCATAATTTGATGGATTTTCTTGTCTTTGTGGTTTAGTCTACACTTGCTCTTCTTACTTGTTACAGGACTTTCTAGGTGTTTTTTTTTTTTTAAAAAAAAAAAAAAAAAAAAATTCTTTTCGCTCGAGCGGAATTTTTTTCAGCTCGAGCGTGTTTTTCACACTTGCAGCAGTTTGTTCGTGTTTTGGCAGTTCTGAGAGATGTTTTTTTGAGCTCGAGCGGCCCTTTGCACGCTCGCGCGGGAGTCTCCTTGCCTTGTACGCTCGAGCGGTACTTAGTACGCTCGAGCGGACCAGTTTCATACTTAACTCCCTCTCTCGACTCTTCGAGTTATTTTTTCTCTTCCTGGTTCATTCTCTCGATCTAGGGTTTGTCGTGTGGCTGCTTTGTGGTCGTTTTTTCCTCCCATTCATCATCCTACCCACTGATTTGCTCTTTGGTAAGTTTTACCCTCTTTCATTTTCACTTGTTTTTGTTCTATTTGGTTCTATTGGTTGTTGGGTTTGTAGTTTTGTGGGGTTTTGCGTGTCGTGTTTGTGATTCTCTCTCTCACACATTTTTTCTTTGTCCGTTTGTCTGTTTTTTATGTGTTTTTTCTGTGTTCGCTCGAGCGTAAAACACCCCGCTCGAGCGGCCACTCACAGACTTCCGCTCGAGCGGCCAACCTCCCGCTCGAGCGCAGAATGCACTCGCCCAGCACTTTTTCAGAACCAGGCCTCCGCTCGAGCTCCCAATCATACGCTCGAGCGGCACTCAGACAACCCCGCTCGAGCGGCCAATACCACGCTCGAGCGTACAAGCTAAAAATCTGGGCAACTAGTTTTGGTTTCTAAACTCAACCAACCTGAAACAAAACCGCCCAACACATCCTATAACTCAAATACGAAGTAAAAGGATGTAAACAAAATAATAAACAACTACCAACATCCATGGACACATATCCGGATCACGGTATAACAAGGGTAAACCCGGGATCGCTATATGCCCTGTTTTTGTTATGCCCTGTTTTTAATTTGATTATTGCACTAATGTTTTGTTTTGGTTTTGTTTTGGTGTGGGTTGGGTTTTGGGTTTGTTGATTTGTTGGGTGTCATAGTGTCTTCTTCGGTATGTCTGCTCCTGCTCCAAAACGCCGACAGGCCACCGTTTCTCGCCCTACCTATAACCCTGAAAGGTTTCAGTCGGCCTCCCAATCCAAGTCATTCCATAAATCTTTTGTGACTCGCACAGTTCATTTAGAACGAAATGTTCAACCCGATACATTTGAGTCCATCCAAATTCGTCCATTGTTCGGCCCTCTAGGTGGTGACCATGTTTTATTATTTTCGGGGCGTCAGAATCTCGATTGGGTTCGAGAATTCTATTGTAATATGGAGGGTATTCGGGATTATGAGCCATCTTTCACTACTTGGGTTAGGTCAAAATCCATTTCTGTCACCCCTGCTTTGATTCGCCAACTTCTTCAGATTGAGCAAGTTTTTTCCCAATACTATCCTTTCCCTGTTCCTGATCGTCCCACTTGTGACTTTGATGCTGTTGCTTTGGAACTGTGTGGTGTTGCCCGTCACTGGCCTAAAGGCGGTTTGATTAAATAGTTTGAACTTCTTCCGGAGTTCAGACTGCTTAATTTGATTGTCTGCGCCAACATCATTGTCACCACACACTCTTCCGAGGTCAAACAAGACCAAGGATTCATTTTGTCTTGTATTGCCAATCACCGTTCTATTGATCTCGCCTCTCTTATTATCACCAAGATGATCAGTGCTCATGGCCATTCCAAGCTTGGCCTTCCTTACGGTTGCTTGATCAACCGACTTTTGTCTGACCTTGGGGCTCCTATCCTCGATGATGATGAGTTTGCCTCTCCCTCTCGCCCTTTCACAAAGAAAACTGTCTCACAGAGTCGGGCTCATGTTAAGGGGGAGTCCTCTCGGGCTGATCCTTCTGCAGGTACCACTGCTGGCCTTGCTGAGGAGGCTGAATATGATGCTGCTGAAGAAAAAAAGGGACTCTTTGACTGAGGGGGAGCCTCCGCATTTACTCAACAAATACCCCGTGATTCCTAGTGGTTTGACTTTTCACTGTATTGTTGAGTTACTCTTGATGGAGGTCCAGCCATCCGATCACTACTAGGATTAACTCTAGCTCAGTGACCTCTCATGGATTGCACACACACACTTTTTCATATGAGCTCTCATATTGGATTTTGAGTTGTACATTCTCATGTAGCTTATGATCATTGATTATA